TCTTTCCAATTGCTTAAATTGGAAAATTTACTGCGTTGATCATTCTTCAGTTTCATCTACTACCACAATTCAAATATGAATTATTTCATATATACTTCACATAAGAAACAACTGCAAGAAAACAAGTTTAGCGTCAATCTCTGTAAGCAAAATAAGTAGAGATCATTGTATCCCTCAACATTTTGTTCTCTCTTCCTACCAAGGTCACAAATGTCTATTAATATTTTACTCAATATGGCAACGTTTAACCATTAAATTAAAAATGTATTCTGTGTTTCTACAGAGATTTAGTATAAAACTAATGGCATACTATCATGAACACCATTCTCTTATTGGCTATGCTACGCACTATCTATTCTGTTGTAGATGGTGAGTTAAGCCCAGCAGTGTGCAGCGTTTCCAATAAAGTGTCTGTAATGAGGATAATTTAGATAAAGTTTTGAACAACTAGGAGATTTATAGGGGAACTCTGGCAACCCAAGGAGCCGCCAAGTGGAGCACCATAATAATAGAAACAGAACCACATGCAAGCATAGAAAAAGAAAACCATGCAACTCTTTTCTCATGGTCAACATGGCTAGCGGCATGGATTGCGGGCACGTATGCCCAATGACAATGACAACTTCACACAACATGTGAGCCATATTACAGCTAATACCAAGTCAAGCAGCCTTGGTTACAGCATACATCTTTGATAATTGGATATCCATGTTATGGTCAATTGACACCTGTCAAAACAGGGTATCCACTGCCTAGTATCATGTGACCATATCGCAGGCTCAGGTTTAGAGCTCATCAAGGTCACATTTTTTCTTTAAAGTCTATCACTGATCAAGTACTGGTTTTTGGATTGGATCTTGGGCTCATGTCAGGTTAACTTGTTGTAATTGAGGCTGGGTTGTTCTGTGAACACTTACAAATTGTGCAGAGACTTGAAGGAACAACCAACATTGCATTTCTCATAGCTTAGGGTCTTTTGTTTTGTGTACTTTGAGATTATAGAAGGCCAAACAATAAACAGAAAACCTCACCGCAAAGTTAAAAAACTCATATCAAAATTTTCAGGCTTTGAACAACCCAGCTCAGGAGCTCCACATTTAGGCTTGGCTAAATATATATATTACTAAATTAATTAGATTATTGGCTCTTGATTTCTATACGTGATAGTTGACAAGAGCACAACCCTCAGCAACTATCAAGTGCCGTAGAAATTTCAAGCTCATAATATAATTGTTTAATAGAAATTTGATTTTAACCAATCAGCGTAGGTATTTGATTTGGGCTATTTTCTAAACTTGTATTATTAATTTCTAGGTTATGATGCTCTGATCATCCAGGCATCTTCAGACCCAGTCAGAGCATTGGAAGGGGGCGATGCCTTGTTCCAGTGGATTCTCAATAGAGATTTAACATCGCGGCCAGATTTTCAAGGACTGGTCTTTGGACTTTATCGGAATGGCTACATAGCAGCATACATAATTACAGTGACAAAAACGAAGGATATTATTTTGAACCCAGGCCTAAAGTACGAAGCACCACACCTAGATGGCCGCGTGCAATGGAAAGGAGACTTGTCCAAGTCCCTTGCAGCTTTCCAAATTTCTCACATTAGTCAAGAAGACCAAATGCAATATGGACTAATGATAGATTTTGGTGCTTTGAAGGATTCAAAGACCAGCTTTGTTAGTCTGCAAATTCAAGGTAACAGAGGCATAATCTGAGATCAGGCTCACATGTATTTTTTGTGAAGAGTTGATGCTGTTCTAATCTTCACATTCTGTGGTTTACATCAATAAAAATGTTCATCAAGGTTTCTAAAATGCTGTTTAGACAATAGGAGATTGAATGGTAGTTATCAATCTATTCCTTAATAATCATTGGTCAGCAAGTTCCTTTGAGCTTGCTTATTCTAAATTCTTTTCTCTTATAAAATTCTTTTGTAATTTGATATTATCATGTAAGTATCCCTATTTTGCTTTGAAACTGAACATTTTCATTTTCATGTTTACAGCTAGGTCTTCTATCACAGCAGCGCTGTCACCACCCCTGTCAGTAACACCAGGTGGAAATGCCTCATTCTACTGTGAGTTTTACATTGACGAGGTTGACAAATCACTATATGATACTGTCACTGTTGGCCTCTGGGAACTAGGCAGTGTCTACCGAACCCTGTCAACCCTCACCAAGCACAGCAACATTATTATGAACCCAAAGCTGCACCAAGAAGCACCGGAATACCATGAAAGGGTTCATGCTAGTTATCTCTCCAACAAGACCAGCAATACCTCAGTAATATCAGTGGTGCTTCTTAATGTTGAGGTATCCGATGCTAGATCTTATGGCTGTAGCATGGATTTTGGGCCTTTTAAAGAACCCGTCGGCACATCTGTGAGAATAGAAGTTCAAGGTAAGATTACGTTGACTAATCTGTTAGAATAGACGATATTTAGTAAGAATAACCAGTTGCCATGTCTGTTACTGACAAACTTTCAAGAGAAGAATCACAAAATGAAGTAAAATAAGTATGTCGAGGGCAATCAATGTAAGTGGTAAAAAATTATTGTATTTTGGGTCCCCTGTACCAGGTCACACTTTTAGCAAATTCTTGTTCAACTTTTAATACAAATCCAAGATTAATGTACTGTGTGTATCTATTTTGTAGGCAACGTGATAAACGCAATTTTTGTCTCTCTCAACTTCCTTGAATGTGTTTAATGTAAAAAGCCTACCAATGAATTTGCCTCAGACACTTCCACTGGCAATATCAACAGTTAGAGATTTCTATTCACCTTGTATTTAAATGTTGGATGTAACTGGTATTTGCTCTGAGTGTCCATTCCTGGGTTCCCAGTAAATTTTAATATGAGGCCATGCAAAAGGGACGTCAGGGTCAATGGAAAGATGGCCTGGTTGAGTTACATGAAATGAATGTTTTGGACAAATAATATACCTCATGCTATTCTCAGTGGTTGCAACGTAAATTGCAGATGGAAGATGTGAAAAAAGTGACTTTCATCTGCTTGAAAATAATAATTGAATTCCCAAGTATGTTTTTAAGCTGAATTGCAAAGTGCTGACAAGCACAAAAACCATATTCTGAAGCCAGCGGCCAACATTAAGTTTACAATGTACTTGTAAATTATATTTGGTTTTGACTCATGTTTTTAAACTGGAAAATCATCCTTGATAGGCACAGTGAATTAACAATGAATGAAAAGCTTGTGGCTTCTTTGCATCCTCATATTACACCTCTGCTGAAGTTTAAGGCTCAATCTAACTTGTGTAAAGGGGAACTCTTTACCCGGAACAGTGCTATGCAGGTCATTTGAAGTATTTGTCAGTTTAAAATTTATTATTCACTGTAAGTCTTGTGGTCAACAACACAATGATCATGTAGTGATTTTAACATTTTCTTCATGGTATTTTGCCAAAAACAGTCTCCACAGCACTTCCTTGCGTCAACTCATGATGACTCTAACCAACTGAATTAATAACAGTCAAGTGGGGTATAGAGATGTATCCCAGACCCGGGTTGTTTGAAAGGTGGATAACGCCTTTCTACCGGATAAATCACTATCCAGTGGATAGCGTGGTTTGTTTTGTTATCACTTATCCAGTGGACAAGGATTTATCCGGTGGATAGCGTTATCCAGCCTTTGATCGACTGGGGCCAGATCATTTAAACTGGGATGTTTTGAGTGAGATAAAAAATTGTATCAACAGTTTGAAATAAAAGCAGATGCACTATATTGAACACTTGGGATTGCCATGCAGCTTTATAAGTAGTCAGTTGCATTATATAATGAAGCATCTTGTTTTGGTCTATTCCATTCTAAATTTGATGTTGTAAACAGCAGCATGCTGTAGCTTTCCTTTTTTGATAACTACAGTGTGAGAGTGGGGAATATAGCAAAGTTGACTCCAAGCTTATAGTCTTTTAACAGTTGGTAATTTAGCATTTGCTTCAAATATATTGGCTGGTTCTAGTATAATTTATCTTTGCACGTATGACAATACAAAGTTTCCGATTGTCCTCTTGCTGAAGATGCCAGCCTGCAGGTGGATTGACAGTTTTGTTTAATACATATAAAACTGATTTAAGCCTATGTATTGGTCTCCCACCACCACTAACATTGAAAGGAAAACAAATATAAAGTGGGAGATCAACAATGATCAGCCATAGATATGAGGACTGAACAATAACATCCAAGAGTAATGAATTTCTGTTTGAGATGTAACAATTCCAGACAGGCAGTGATCATGATAGTGAAAATTCACAGTAAATGAGATGATAGCAGAGCTCTGGAAGCACCATACTCATATAGGAAAGAAAAGGAAACCCATGAATTGATTTGCAAATGGTTATCATGGCTAGCGGTATTGCTTGTGGGCGTGTACGCATGATATCGATGGCGGAGTTGCCGAAGATGACGGCCGTACTCCAGCTATTAGGTTAACAAAGACATGCAGCCTTGGTTTGTAGCGTCCTTCTTCCCTGTTATGGTCAATTGACTTGTCAAATCAAGGTATCCGCTGACCAGTATCATGTAATCATATCGTAGGCTCAAGTTTATAACTCGTCGAGGTCTTGCATTTTTTTTAAGTTGACCGCTGACCAAGTGCTGGTTTTCGGTTCGATTGCAGGCTCACGTCAGGTGAACTTGTAAACAGGGTCTGATTGTTCGGACGTTGGTTAACGCTAATTCAGGATTAAAAGTTAACCAAAGTATAATTTTTTTTCTTATAAGTAGTTTTTTTGAAAAAACATTTCAGAATAAAAACTAGCGGTAAAAAACGACGTTTCGATCTCTCTGAGATCATTTTCAAG